AGACCAGGCTTTGCCAAGAAAGGTTGGACCAGCTGATCCTTGAGGTCCCTTCCAGACTGGTACTCTATGGTTCTATGAAGAATTTAGTTGCTTAATTGCCTCGCAAACAACAGCTTTACTATCCATGGTAACAGTTCCCTCTCCTTCCCCTTCCTGTCCTTTTTGGAGATTACTTCTAGAAAAGTGAGATGTTGGCAGGAAGAAACTCAACATTCCTCTTCCTGGACATTCTGATCAAAAACTAATCTGTCATGACATGGGGGGACACTGGGAGCAACAAAAAATCCCAACAAACCAAACCCAGCCCAAACTCAAATCCCGCCTAAATGAATCAAAGAGACTATAACTACCCCGTTTTACGAATACATATATTAACATCAGGTATATAAATTAATGCTGATTTTCAAGTTCCTTGACTTTCACTGTCTAGTCTGAACGAAATGAAAATTCGAGGAGTCTACTGACATCACATACAGCCTTGGGGAACGGCTATAAAGTCGCGCTAGTGCGTGTTTCGGGGAAATGGCAACAATCAATGCTTATCTGCCCTGAGCCATAATTGTCTTTATATATATACACACACACGCATTCAACTTCATTGCACGTGGGCTGATACAGCAGTATTACTGTGCTATGGATCAGGTGGGAAGTCCCTGCTCCTACGTGGCAAATGAATGTTCCTATAAAGCATGAACAATCCCGCTAGGAAACCATACAGCGAGCTCCTCCTTCCTCAAGAATTACTGGCACTTCTAGAGAGATGAGAAGATTTTCGTTGCCAAGCCCGCTGCCAGCTCCACTCTCAGCACAAGCCCATCCCCTTTCTGTGCTGTTATGTCAGGGGAGGACAGTGAAAGAAAGCAGCTCTTGGGATGATACATGGGAGGCAGTGCTTCATTTATAACCCCACACAAATGCTGGAAAATGTTCAACTTTAAAAAGCATTAGGTTGGTTACCTTATGGGCCCCTGCGGACCAAGAAGTGAAATTACGTGAACACAACATACCTATTAATCACCAGAATGATTCCACAGTGAGAAACAGCCCCAGTGACATACATTCAGCTGGAAAGAAAGTTGAGAAAATTACCTACTAGTAGTTAGGCAACTCAGAAAAATTTGGTGGTACCTTTCTGCAGGGCTCCCCTCTTGACTCCTCAATGAATTCAAGCATTTAACTTGGATTAAAGCCCAGTCAATAGTGGAGAGTAACAATGGCATTTCCACCTAAACACGTGTGTTTCTCCTCAGCCAGTCACAAATAAGCTACACTTGTGTGAGACACATCGGCAACTGCCTGCTTCATAGTACTCTGTTTACAAGGTAGAGAAGGATTTGGGGAGGTGGGGGGAAGGAAAAAGAAAAAAAAAACACAAAATCATTCATATCATTCTTAGTCTTCTGCATCCAGATAGATTACAGATCAACTCAAATTGACCTGTACTTGATTGATTTAGGTATTATTTCAGAGAACAGACTACAGCAAGCTTCTTCCAGCCAGGATTCAGAAACTAGAATAATTTACACCACCTTTGAAAGAAGCCATCAACGTCATGGCTTAGATCGGTGAAGACTAAACAAGTGAAAATCTCCCTAGTTATTATGGGGAAGAATATGTGTTTATCTGCAAAATGTAAGATGATGGACAACTTTTCATGTGCTCAGAATTAGCATTTACCCACAACCCTGTACTGTTTTTATCACTTCCACTTTTGAGAAGCCTTGGCTCACGTGACTGTTTCCTCGATGTTGAGCAGCAGACCTGAATGTGACAAGGTGGACATTTTCTCTAACGGGGCAGAGGGGAAATGGAGGTCACACCAAGCCCCTCAAATCACTTGGCTGCCACAGCCACCTTTTCTCCTCAGCAGTAAACAAATCCCTGTGGCCGGTCCGTATGTGAAGCAATTCCTTTGAAGAGAGCTCTGCATCTCAGTTCTCTTCAAGTCTTGATATCAACAACGACAGTACTTTGGACTAACACTTGAAAGTTCAGGCTCCCAAAAAGACTCCCGTGCAGATATCGCCACCACTTTTGGCAGCTTCAGAAACCATCCTGTTCAAGGCAAAGCGGTTTGAAAGACAACAGATGCACAATTAAATCTAAAGAAGTAGCAATATGAAATAGAGGAGTTTATATTACCATTTCCTTGCGCAATGAAAGCTTGTAGGACAGAGAAGAAACAAATCTTTGTTTGTACACTATAATCTATATTAAACAGACGCTTAAGAAGTCAACAAATTCAATGTGTTAAGAAGAAACCTTTTAATAAAGAAAGCTGAACCATACTTTGCGGTTAACAAATATTTTGAAAAAGGCTTATAAAATTAAATCTAAGCCAATTATCTGGTGCATCTGCAGCTGAGAAGGAAGTGTCAATACTCCAAACATCTGCTCAGTTTGTGTCCCCTCCTTTCTTACAGAGGAAGTATTAGCTTCCAGTTGTACAAGTGATTAAGGGAGCAAAAAGGTATTGCTCAACAAAAACTATTTTCTTAGATAATTACAGACTAAGGCCAAAGAAGAAATTCATACATTAAGCACCATTACCAACATGGAAGCCTGTCAAAGATACCAGTTTGAATAGCACAGCCTTCTTCCTTGCCCCCGAGGTCCAGGGGTCAGCTAACCAGCGGGGGTGAGGCTCATGAGAACAACGAAATCAAACCATCGTGGAAAGCACACTCTGGTCACACTGGAGTCAGCTAACGCCAGACAGCAGGACCTCAGTGGTTTTCATAATGAAGCTGAAGGGCGAAAGAAGATTCCCAAAGCGCTACAAGACACAGAACAGAACGACAAATTACCTCCCTTTCAAAACCAATGTCCTTTGACAGGCTCAAGCCATGAACGAAAAACCAGCCCGCATCTTTCCCGTAGCAACAGAGCTACGGCCCCCGCAGCGCTGATGCTGTGAAACAGCCCTGTAGTAAACACCAAATAGTAGCTGAGACACACAAAGGAGGAAAAAGCCCTCTGAAGCCACGGCTCCAGCCTTGGCCACTCACCCCGGCACGGTGCACTCAGCTGGAGGCCAGAACGCTGGGAGCACTCACAGGCCACAGCACCCGCAGCACCTAGGCAGAAGCAGGAGGGTTAGGACGGCGTTCCTCTGTGCTACAGCCCCCCCAGCACCGCGCCTGCGCCGGGCGCACGCGGCGGAGGAGGGCGGCCTATCTTCTTGGGTATTCCGGCATGAATTATTTATAGGTCATCAACTCCAACGGGCAAAAACTGAACAGATCATCCACCAAGCCCGGCCCGTGCTTCCAAACAGGATCCGTATTCCGGATGCCATCTACGCAGTTCCAGAAATACAGATCAGGCTAAAACAAATCGCGCAAACTCCCCTGCACCTTCTCAACCCATCCCCCAGGGACTTCGCTGGGACTCGTGTTATCCTCGTAGAAACCCTCTTTTCATGAGGCAGCAATGACAGGACTCATTTACTTTGAGGGTTTTACTTTGGCCCTCCTGGCTTCTATCATAACCTCAAATATTACATTAAAAAGGCTTTTAAAACATAACATTCACAGCAGCGCAGCGGCTTTTCATTGCAGCTAGCTTCTCCCCTGCCTGTTTGCGTGTGGCACCTTCACATTAAGTGCATGAGTTAAGATGTAGATTAGCAAGGCAAGAAACCTTTGCCCTTGGCATCGACATTCAGCTGTGACAGGAAACTTCAGGCTTTTTTTCCTATGAAGTGTAGAACTACTCATTACACATTGGCAGGGAAGTGCACATCTCCAAACTATACACATTTTCTCTTAGATAAGCAAAGGACTCAAGTGTTTATAAATATGAAAAGTTCAGCAGCTGGCTAAAAAGTTAATTCTCCAGTCTCACTTAATGAGCCTTGGGGAAAGTGGTAGGGGGATTTGTTCGGAAAGTAAAGCAGAGTGTCACAGAGAGCAGGACTTGCTGGACGGGGCTCTGTTTAGTCCTATTTTCTGTCTCTAGATGGCTGCTATCAGCAAAACGGCAAGGAATCCTCTAAGGGGAAGCTGTGGAACAACCAGAATGAGAAATGTTTTCTCCTAATCTTACAGTGATAAAAGTTAGCCAATTTGTAATTTAAGTCCCATGACTTGTATCTTTGTTGTAAAAATATCAAGCAATCAATATCAAAACACTTTGGAACAGGGACTGTGTTACGATTTTGTCCAATTCCCTGAACAAGGAAGTTGTTTGCAGTAGGATGCAGCAGGAACACTGCTGCAGTATTTTTTCAATAGTTTAATATTGACTAATACTGGTCTACTCCAGTAGCATCAGGTTCGGACTCAACAAATGGGATTGATTTGCTTGGAAGGCAAGCAGGTTGGTTGTCTTCAAGAACTCCCAAGCAGACTATTTACAGCGCCTGCTGTCACTCTGCATCTCTACTTTTCTTGAAGGCAAACTTCTTGGTGTCTTCCTAAGACACCACAGCAGGAATTGTGCGACATCACTTTTGCAAGAAGGACACATAGCTACCCAGTTCTCCACCTACGTAATTATTAAAAAATAAAAATTCATACGGAACGGAAAAAGAATCAGACCCTTTTGTCTGCAGTTTCATCAGAAGTTGTTTTAAGTATCAGAGTATTTTTCAGCTTGCTCGGTGAACTGTACAGATTATTTCATCCCTTTTGTGTACCTCCTCCCTTCTGTCACTTACTGAGAACTCTCAGCAGCAGCTACTGGAGACAACGGAGCCGCCTCTGACGATCAGGAACGGAGGGATTCTCCAAGAGATCAGTGGAAGCCGGGCACTTCTGCCAGTGCCAGCCCCCAGTGCCTGCAAGCCCTTCCACCTGTGCAGGACACGAGGAAAATCCCCGCGGCGCCCGGTCCCGGGCGGGGAGCGGAGGCTGGGCTGCCTGCCGCCCCCGAGCAGCCGGCTCGGCGGCCGTGCCAGCGCGCCGCCCGCGGCGGAGGGCGCGCTGCGCTGTGTACGTTGGAACTAGTAAACGCTCCATTGTGATTTTTGGCCACTTGGAATACTTTTAGCAATTTGCCAAGGTTTACCCTGTGATTTATTATGGAGGAAACAAACTCAAGCACTAACAAATGAAAATATGTAAACTCAGACTTTTCAAGTCAATAGGAAGGTATTCAACTTCTGAAAGCCCTTCGGAGGCAGGCAGTTCGCTGCAGATTCAATTGCTGGAAACAACGGTTTGATTAAGTAGCAACTGAAATGTAATCTACGTCGTCATATTTAAGTTGCTTAGAGATTTATAGTGAAGAATTCCACATGCACAATACTTTCCAATCGTAATTTCTAAAACTGTGTTCTAGATTTGTTGGAAATTCAACAGTTTGCTGGAAATACATTTTGTAGCACTTTTTCACTGAGGCCAAAGCACTCCAGGTTATCTACCATCTAGAACTTTATTATCTCAAATTACGATATTTAGTAAGTTAAAACACAGTATCATGAAAAAATCCTTGAAATTATGAAACACACAGGGAAAAAAAAATCATTTAGAAAGCTTAGAGCACTGGAATTACCTAGAGATACAACACTAGATACAGCAAATAATGACTGTTTTATTACAGTATTCTTAGGTGCAGAGGCAGGTGTCATCGAAGAGAAGGTAAACTTCCATCTTCAGTATGACAATTCAGCTAGATGCTACTGCCACACACCTCCAGAGCACAGGAGATAATGCTTTATAAAGTGTGAGCAGCAATCACTGCATTATCTAGAGTTAAAATACTGAAGCAATCTATCAATAAAATCAGAAGTGTTAGTTTGATACTGAGTATCATTGTTTCCTACAAGTTTTCTGAATGCTTCTGGAAACATCAGAATACAGTAATCTAATAATTAAAATAAGGAAGAATATTAGTCATTGAGAGTATGACTGGGAGTTAACATTAATTCTATCTAAACTAACGGAATATTGGAAGATGGTATTTCCTTCTCAGCTGTCAATCTCAAGAGATGAATACGGAATTCACTTCTTGTCTGTGTATCTCAATACACAGTTTTCACTTTTGCCAGTATTAAACTAGCACAGTAAGTGGCAAGAACCCCTTCATGCTTGCCACCACTGTGACTTGGTTGGTGGAATGACGTGGCGATCAGCATGCTTCTTGATCATTTTTTCAGCTGAGCAGACACTATCTATCCTTTCCTGTAGAAAATAAGTGAAATAAACACACTGCCCAATGACCAAACCCTGGGAGTTTTTTCCCCACATTTGGACATGTCACTTGACTTTCAAAATGCCAGTACGCAAAGCCAACTAACTCGTACAAAGTCTTTTTTTGGTTCAAGAAACCCAGCAGAGAGAACTTCACCAAGCAATTCTTTGTTAGCATAACATTTGACCTTGTATCTCTTTGGAAATCATACAACTTTGCTAATGCAGTCCTTACAGAATTAATCAAGCAGATAGTTAGACCCTAGTTACTATGAACCCAGCCAATTATGAGCAGCACTGAAATTTGTCACTGGCATGTCCAACTACATTTTCCAACATAAAGATCAACAGAACTGTGTGGAAATGAGGCCCCACTCGCAGACCAGCATGACTTGGACACTGCAGACTAGAATTGCTAGCAAAGCCAACGCTTTTAGGAAGAAAGTATTCTTAAGAAAAAAGGCTTACCTCCCGGGTCTCCATTACCTGCTGCATTAAAACAGCTAGAAAGCATAACGCCTTTCACCCTCTATTTTGACTAGCAAAGCTAGAATAAATGACTCATTGAGAGTTCAGAGCTCTTTATTTGCCACTCTGCTCTACTGCATGAGATCCACAGTTCAAGGAAGGCCAAATATACTGCATGGCTTAGTCTGCAAAGTGGGGAGGGGAAGCTGCCTATGCAGTTTCTCCCTCTGTCGAAGTAAGACAACACAGCTCTCAGAGCCCAGGGAAAGATGACGAGGTTATAACCAGCAGCAACATTAACAGGTAAGGAAGGAAAAGAAACCCTAAAAAGAGCAGAGAGGGAGAGAGGGTATGGGCACAGAAGGCACCCATAGGAACAAATGGCTCAACAGCACACTTAAATATATTTAAAGCAGCACATTAGAAATATATCTAGCCAAAAGCCTGATCTCCATTGTCAAGTCCAATTTCTATCCTTGAACAGGCACTTAAATGACAGAACTGTGGTCACTGAACACATCCTCCATCTAGTAGCTGGAACCAGAGAATATAAAACCATTGCTCTAGTTCCCAAAAGGTAAGTGGCAGCTAACTTCTGAACCTGGCTTGGAAGTCAGTGGTGACTTTACCTCTGTTCTCATCATGCTACAAGTTTCCAGTGCTCATCAAGAGACCTGTTTTTCCCGCAGCACAGCCTGCTTTTTACTCACTTCTCAGTCTCCAGTCGACAAATGTATTTTCTGAGCCTCTCACAGTGCAGCCTTTCACTTCTGTGAGAATAAAGTCCATACTCACAGTGCCCTATGGCAAAATTTCTCTGGTGCTGAAATGCTGCTCTCTCACCATTACAGTGCAAATTAAAGCTAAGGTATATTGTAGTAACAGTTCACCTTCCTGTCAAAATAGACATTTTGACCAAATTTCAGCAAGTGTTTGTCACTAATTAGATTCTTAAAAAGGGAGACAAAATAATTCATGGCCCAAAAGCACGAGACCGACTAGAGCCTACTTCACCATGGGCCCCCAAACTCCCAAAGATCCCGCAAGTTACCTCCACAAGCCCCAGGACAGGGACAATACTTACAGCTTTAGCAAAAATGACCATCAGCTCCGGGAACTGGTGCGTAAGGAGGGCAAGCATGGCCGAAAAGGAACATAGGCCTGCTGTGAAATGGATGAAAAAGGGAAGTTCCTTCTGTGGGTAAACGGAGACTTCGTGAAATGCTGAAAGGAAAAAATTAACAATATTGACATTGGATAATTGAGGACAGTTTTCTGAATTATTCACATAGTCCTGTAACTCAGCTCTAGACTTTCAGAAGGAGTAAGCGTGGATTCAAGACTATCGTGCAGCACATTAGGTCCCAGTACTTAAAATTCTCACAGATTCTTCTCCTACATTAAATGCTTGTCTTCATTATTAATAGTCATTACATATTTCTCTTCCCAATCTTCTTTTTCACTTGCTTGGGCTCTATTTTTGAAGCATTTCATCAGGCTTAGTTTTTGGTACCTACTCTTTTAACAGGACAGAGGGACAAACTGTAAAATTCACAAGCTGTCAGAATTACCTAGATGAATTTAAACAATTCAGGTGTTTTCAACCCTCTGAAGCATTAATCCTGTTACCTGAAGAGAACAGCACATCTCCCCATCCCATAAGCAGCTCAGCAAGTACAAAACAACCATACATGCAAGGTACACCTCCTTAATATTTTTCAAAGATTTCTGGTTGGTAGGCTACAGTAAATTTTTTCGCAGCAGCTGACAGAGCAGACCTCAAAGAAAACAGTACCAGGACTAGGTTATAAATTCTGTACATAGCAGCTCCTTGCAATTTCCAATCTACGGTAACAAAATCAAAAGAAGCTGATTAGACAGGCTAAGGGCTGGCATATGGAGCTTTCAGCACTCAAGACACTACTACTGGTTACTAGCTGAGGACCTGTTTGGTGAATTTGCAATTATTTACTGGCTCTGAATACCTGCAGCTCTGACTTCTCATGATTTTTAAAGGGTTTTTAAATGAAGAAAAAAATAGACATATGGAATTGTGAAAGGGCTGCCCACTTCTTGACAGGCAGTTTTAAAAATCTAATAAAAGCCTCAAAACTTAAGTGAGCCTTTCCGTAAAACAAGAAAACACAACTGTATTCATTTTTAAACTGAAGTCTGAGGAGGACAAAGACACTTTACCCTCCCAGTTACTGTTTCTGAATGCTGGCACGTACAAGCTACCATTATAAGAGCAAGCCCAGCAAAAGTCCTCGTGTTCTTGCAGCTCATTACTGGCAAAGTGCTTGGGTTTTGTTCTGGTTTTAAGTTTATGATTTTGGAGCACAACTCAGTAGAACTTTCGAAGTTCTAACGCCTACCAGAAATATTTAATGTTATCCCAGAGATTATCAGTTCACCTTCTTCACATGCAGCCAGCCCTCCTAAGCCGTGATGCAGTATGAGAGTAACGCATCCCACTGAGCAACCAAAGAAACCACTTGTCTACTATGGAACACTAGTATGCTGTCATACTATGTAGAAACTCACCTGATTTTTAAACCAAGGAGCAATGTAATTTAGGAAAGGTCCCAACATACATTAGGAAAGTGTAAAAAAAAAAAAAAATTTTTTGCACTGTTTTTTCCTACATTGGGAAATTAAAATCAAATCTGAAATAGACATGAAAAACTACAGATAATTCTATACATTCACAGCCATTTGAGAATTGTTACTAGTCAGACCAATACAGGATTTCTGAGTCATTAATTTGGTCAACATTATTTTAAACAGATAAATTTTTAAAAAGTGTCAAGATTTCTCGAGGAAGTACTGCAATAAAAGTGTTAAGATTATTTTATTTATGGGTAGTTTTATATTTAAAACATAACAGGAATGCGTGAGTGATCGTGTTGAAATATCTGCATGTGTTGGTGTTTAATTATGCTGGGAAGTCTACAATTTAGGGTTAGTCGCTAACCAAGGAATTCCTTGTGCAATATCCTGCATAAGTGAGAAATGAGTAATTTAAAGCAGTCTGGGGGCAAATTTAAATTACACATTTTAAATATAACTTCATGCTTTTAAATAGAAACACGTATGTATAGTTTTCCTCTCCACAGCTGCGGTCTCAGTGGGTCTGGCTGGTGCTTTTGCAGTAGCCCCTTCCAGTCCCATGGGACCTGCATTTCTTCATGATGTGGAAGTTCACCCCCCAAAGGAATTCTACTAACAGGTACAATTAACAGTCCAATTCTAATCTAAATTAATGCTATTTTCCCAAATATGATGAGCACAGGCCCTAGTGATTTAGTTTGTTTGCCTTACCTAAAGATAAAAAAACACGTAGGCTCATAATTGCATAGAGCAATCCTGAAGTAATGGGCAGCTAGAGAAGACTTAAATGTAAGTATAAATCCACAGAAATACCTACATGGACAAGAAGCTCCAGGAAGCATACTATCCAGCAGACAAATATGTACCGATGAACTGATGACAGAAAGCAAGACATACTCTATGAAGCTACAGATTACCTGAGGATTTTCTGTAAAATCACAGACAGCTGCTGCGAGACAACCCAAATGCAGGACTGGAACCATGCATGCATTCCTTGCTAAAAGGAAAGGGCTCCTCTACAACAGTAGTCACATCTATGAATTCTTTAAAAAGAAGTAATTTAAAGCACTGGTCCATTTTGTTTTTCGCAAAGTTGGTCAAACTTAGTCTGAATGTACCACACACAGACTTCATCTTTGAAGGACTTATGTTATTACAGAGTCAAGCTAACATTTACCACACACACACGTCAAGTGCTTCAGAGTCGTTTGGAAAGGACATCAACAAATAGCTGAATCCCCTTCACAGGAAGCTCAAACTAAAAAAATCACAGTAAGGTAAATACAGAATACCACAAACTGAACATGTCCTTAGCTTGTGTTTTATTATCATTACTGCTTAGAAACCACTTACTTGGCAACAGTTCTCTGTCTGCTGTTTCTGTGCAACTCGGATAGGGATAGAAAAGATGACCTTTCTCTAATGGGTATGGGATCATCCTAAATGCTGAAAAAAGAGTGAGTGACATTAGATCTGTATCTGAACCAAGTGACCAGCCTCTCACAAAGAGAACCAATCGTGTTTGAGGTGAATAAATGCAGAGAGATTAGTCTACTGCACAGAAAAAAAAAATAAAACAAGGAGAGATACTTACTGCCTTCCCATGTACAGTGTAGCAGATTTAGAGCCCCTTCTATCCTCTTCCAGTGCTGGAGGTGAAAAAAAGCATATGCTACTGCCTCACTGTCCCCTCGTTTCAGAATATGCTCTGGAGGCAGCACTAGACTTTTCATTTCTAGTAAATACTGAAAGTAAAAATGGAAAGCACACTTGGTTATATGGAATATTCCAAAATCTTTCACTGTGAAACGTAAATGATCATTTGAGGCATAACTGAGCATATCACACAGCGGCCAACTCCTACCTGTTGAAGAAACAGCCCAATGCTGACACAGTGCAGGCAGTCTGCACGCCACTGGGAAGTGAAAAGCAGCAAAACACACATCTGTGTGTAAGACTCTTCAACTGGGGTCTTCACACACAACATATCAGAAAAAAACGCATTCTTCTGGGACAGACAAGGTATAATGCCACAGGTACAATACCAACGAGCTACAAGTTTAGGCTAATACAAAAGAACCCAACGCCAAACCAATGGTATTTTTGCTCATTATTTCATCACTGAAATTTCAATGTAGGAGGCTAAGTACTTGTTAGCTCTCGAGTAGCAAACCAGAAAGTAACAGTATGCTAACCAAAGGAAGAATAATAAACCAAACCCAGGGAAATCTTGTTCTAATGTGGTTTTGCTGGACTGCCACAAAGTATCTCTGATTTCAGATTTTTTCAGCGTCAGCCTTCTCCCTACACCAGCAGACTATCTGATGCATAGAAGGGTCAAAGAACACAAGGATTAATCATTTTCCATTTCCCTTGAAACACTGGACATGCAATTTTATTTTCTCATGGTACATTAAAAAAAAAAAAAAAAAAGACAGGTATTCATTTTGACTTAGCTTTTAAAAACAGATGAGTAATTTTTACAAGAATGAAATGACAGTTTCAGCTCTAGTATCTACCTGTGAATTGTTCTATCCTAGCATATAGTGTCTCATTCAATAACAGCCAAAGTTAATCCACATCTTTGATCAATGTAGATGGCAATTCCTTTGACTGTCTCCCAAAGTGTAAGAATGCAGCTAACTCGTCGGTTTATTTCAGCAGATGCCACAAACTATGAGATTATTTACTAATCCAGTTTGAGGACTTAACTTTTCCCATTCAGATTCTTGAAGGAATGTAGGAGGGGTTGTGCCCCAGCCAAATAAAGCACATTTACTGCCTGGCTAGGTTCTTCTCTTAGTGCCTTGGGCCTACACTCCGGAGGGTAATATTCTTGCTAATCCCCTCTAATCCTCTTCAATTTTTTTTTTTTTTTTTTTTTTTAACACAGTAAAGGATCACTCACACAGGGCTGCTGTGGGAAAATGGTCTCAAATATCTGACCCTTGACCTGACTCCTCCTGCTCTCCGCGGTGCCCTTTTCCATTGTCCCAGCTGCACGGAGAGCAAGGGAATATAAACCCAGCGGTGGTGAGGACGCCCCACGGCCAGCGCTGCCGCACCGTGCCAGCGCTGCACTCCAGGCTTCAGCTGCCTCTGGGCCCCTGTTACCCCAGGAACAGAAAAATTCCACAGTCCAGCAGGTGTTCATGTCCGTGTCTAACCACAATACAGGCAAGGTATCAGTACAGAAAATACCTGGGGTTTTGCAGATTTAAGGAAGTCTTTATACACAATAAAGATTTGTAAGATATTCAGAAGATGAATGGAAAAGATTGCTTCATGCATTATCAAAACGCAGTTACAGATCTCTAACCTGGAATGGCTTAAGAGTACCATTTTTCTAGCACTGTAAAATGCCCTGCTAGCTTTCCAAACAAAACCCATCCTTGTAAAAGCATAACTCAGAACAAAGAGAAACAAACATTATTGTATTTTCCTTATGCAAAACAATGTTATGTGCAAAGACAACCACTTTCATCAGATGCAAGAACAAAGGGATTTCTAGTTTACATACTCATTTATTTTTAGTCCATGGGACAGTACAGACTGCAAATTCAAAAACCAGATTTTCTTCCCCACTACTCCTCTGTGACCCACTGGGCAAGTTACTTCACTTGTTTGTTCACTTGTTTGCTTTGACTATGAGCATTTCAGAGGTCTAGATCACCAGCACCAGTAAAATTCTGCCCTGTCATCTAATAAATTGGTGTTTCAAGGCAATATTGTTATAAAAAAAAAAAAATGAAGACGACTAGATAGGCATACAATTAGAAGAGAAGAGCAAATTACTGCAACCTGGAATCAGGTTTCTCTGTAGAATTATGGAACATATTTTGCAAACAGCCTGTTTGAAGTGATATCTGACTTCTTTAAAAAGGTGTATGAGGCTTCTGAAACTGGAGGATATACAAAATAACAGAACTTTTAGATAATGATAATGCGTTATAATCTTCTTCCCCTAAAGGCAGAGGCTAAAGAAAAATCTGTCTGAGACTGTCTGAAATGAACTTGCTAGGCTCTTGATCAGTCATGCAAACAAGCAGCAATTTCTCCCAGCAATTAGCTTTCTCAGTGCACATTCTATTAGATTGGACAGGCAGACAGAATAGAGCGGCTGGATAATTCAAGCCTTCACAGCAACAGCCACTGGGACTCCATGATCATTTGCAGAGGATTAGGTCCAGGACTAAGCCAACCTTCTGCATGCAAGGTTTCAAACTGAACGCATCACCGATACCAGTACAGTAAAATGCAACCTAAGATTTTATTTTCACCCAATGCTCAGTGGAATCCATATCTTGACCACTTCAAGTAATGCCAAACATTAAGTTACAGTCTGTAGCAATACCAATTCTTAATCTCATTTACATGTGGATGAAGAAGATAAGTGACTGCAGATCTTTCAATAACCCAAGCTCTGGAGCCATGCTTGGAAGCACAGCAGAAAAAAATGTATTTTAAGATAGTGTGAGTGGCTACTGTTCAGAGAATTTAATTTGGCTTCAGGAATTTTAAATATCTAAATTTATATTTATTAATGCTTACCCTTACCCAACAAAGGCCTTCAGTAATACGTTACTGGATTTTCCAATGAGTTAGAAAATTCTGAGTTTAAATTTTTTGGGAAAAAAAAAAAGGGGGGGGGGCAACAAACAAAGCCACCTGTTTTACCATCATCTATTGCAAACATCTAATTCTGGCCATCAAACCTTTATAATACAAATACTAGTGTGTTTAACAATTTAATGGCTGGAGTTACAATCAACTTCAAGAAAACATGGGGCTAGAAAAGCTCCAATAACTAGATGGTAACATGACTTTTTTCAGAAGACCATAAAAGTGGTCCAGTAGGAAGTAAAATACTCTTACCTTTGGAACATGAGGGTTAAATTCTACAGCTCTGTGAATTGCTTCCACAGCATTAATTTCTGCTGTACTAAGTCCTCTTTTGGAGGCAGTTTCTGGGGAGAACCTGAAGGGAAAATCCCACACTGAACAAAAGTAATAAATAAGTGCCAACTAGGTGTTTATTTGCATTGTAAGCTTGGAGTTCATTAAAAATTGTCTGATTTATGAAGAAAGATAAACAAACCCTTCTAGGATATAAATGTTCATGTTAATTTAGGTATCCTGACTGTCATCTATGCTTATATGACAAAGTTATGTTTCACTTTTTGAAACTCCATGTCAATCACATAAGGTGACTGCGTGCCCAGTCTTTCACATGATTGTTACAGCATCACCACTCGGAGGTAAAGCTAGAATCAGCTGTGCAAACAGAGCAGAACAAAAGTCAAACGCCAACATGAACTACCACAAATACCCTGCACCCAATCCACAAAGAACTGCTGAACACCACAAACAAGACACTGAAACCAAAATTTATACAAAAGCACGTGTGTACGTGGGTTCTTGAAAAACATGTTTATCTGTACTAACTTTATGGATGCTTAATAGAAACTTTAAATTACGTTTAACTACACACACACATATATGTATATATAAATACACATAACTTGCTCTTAGAAACATAACTGATACATATTGGATTTAGACCTTGTCAATTCATATTTTAGAGCATAACCCAAGATTAGCAACAACCCACTGTTTTCACAAATGTGCTTGCTTACCTTTCTGAAACAGCTCTGGCTTTTAACAGGGCTGCTGTGTAACATATCGCTGCCGATTTTGGAAGACTGATATCTATGATAAAATAAAATAATTAAGCTGTAAGATTCTAAGGCAAGACAAACATTTTAAATCCACATCCTTTGAACTTCAGGATTTTTACTTGGGTGTACCAGACAATGAATGTAACATCTGGAACATTTCAGCTATAATTAGAAACTTTTAATTTCTTTGCAGTCTTTTTTCTGGTCACCACTCAGTCTCAGATTTAAAACTCTGAGTTGTAATTAGGTGGTAAAGAGTGATTTTTTTTCTCTTATAAATGTACCGAGCCACTGAAACTGAATTCAAAGAGAAAGGCGTGCATAAATACACACTGAAGAACAGTGTACTTTTCCTGTATTAACCCACAAAGTTTAAAATAAGCTTCTAATCTTTATCCAATTTTGCAAATGTACATTAGCACAGAGTTTTACACAGTACTGAAAGAGAGACTGACTAGAAGCTGACCCAAAAAACTGCATTACAGACAGGTAGACAAATTTTAATGAAAATGCAATTTCCATTCTTTTCCAGTTCCATGGGGAAAAATTCTTTCAGTTGTAGGTTTTGTAGAATATCTGAGGCCAAGTTTGAGCTGACAATTACAGATTAGAAGGTTAGCACTTCACAGTACAAGTTTACTTTAAAAGCAGACAAAGTCTAGGGTCTGATTCCCAAGTACATGTTGTGTATAGTCAGATGGCTCTTGCTTTTTTTGTAAAACCCATCCTGGGCTTGTCCATCACTTACTGGAAGTCTGGCTGTCGCGTCAAGCAAAACACAGGGGCACTATGGGGAGTTTGAAGCTCATACTCATTTTTCCAGATGCTTAGAAAAAAATCAGCAACCCCTTCTTAAGAAAATGTCACAATTCCTGATGTTAACATGAAAAAGCACGAGGAAGAGAAAATGGTTTTGTTAAATTAGTAAGAATCCACACAGAATAACATGGACAGCTAAGTAACAGGAACAGGTTGCTAGGGTGGCCACGCACAAGGGGCACAGGATTTGGGCAAGAATATCAAACTTCTGATTCCCTGAAGCAATAAAGAACAGACACAAGAGAGAACATACTGACTTCTCAAGGGCAGGGAACAACTGCCACAAAATACTGTCTGTATGTTCCTCCATTCTGAAGGTGATATAAGGGATAGCTTTGACAGCAGCACTTTGTACACTAATGATGTGGGCTTTATCTAGGTAGCAAAACTCTGAGGACAGTAAGAAAGTAAGTATATATTTTGTTAGCCTTTAACTAGACTTGTACAATACTTGAAACATATTAGTTGAGATGGAAAGTGAAAGCAAACTGCTGCCATTTAATGGACCAAAGCTTGCATACCACTAATCTCAGGCAACCAGCATGCTTGTATGTTGCTAATCTCTGGTGAGCAACTTCAGTATTACAGAATCATGAAGCCAAGCCTGGAAAATGACAGAAAGGAAAACTACATTTTCCAGCTTATTTACATCAATTACTTAGGGGGTTATATGCTGGCTGAAAAAGGCTGATCAATTTAGGCATAACCAGGGATGTAGAAGAGATTAAAAAATTAAAATGATCCTTGAACTGAAGCAAAGTGACCTCCAAGATTCCTTTACAGATTAGAAGTAACTTAAAAATGTAAAAAGTAATTTGTATGCAATTTAGCTTGCTTAAATTTGACCTCATCATTCAAAACAAAAATCTCAGTTTGTACTCTGGAAGTGCCTACTTCTTGCCAATGAAGGGAATCCAGTCAACTAGCTGAGACCATGGGTAGGCATCTTGTCCTGGGTTGAGTAAGTGGTGGAGTTTTTTTGGTGGCAGGGGAGGTAGGCATCTGCTTTTGGACACGCACACCTTGCCCACCTCACCCACACTCCTACACAAAAACATCAATACTTCCCAATACGCATCACTTACCATCATACTTTGCTAAAACTGCCTGGACATCTGCGTAAGCCTGTAACTCCAGCAGTGCCTCCAGGAGGTTTTCATGAATATTCAGCATGCTGAGAAGTGGGAACTCTTTCATCAACTGCAAGTCAGTAAAAAGAAATACATTAAGCACACACAGAATTGCACTTGAATCACCGAAACACTTAGTAGAAATCGGTACAATAATTTAAGCTTTTTCAATGTTCTGGTCATTCACATTGTTAGAAACTGGCTCATAAGCAGCATGAAAAGAATCACATCATTTCTACCTTATTTTTTTCCTATATTCACCTACTGGAAAATAAGTATGCCAAGGTTCATACAACCTACTCTCAGGCCAAATTTGCACAACTCCCACACTGAGCTGGCTTGGTCAGTAATATTCTCCTATGAAAAAAGAACTTATGATACACCTTGGGCAAGTGAAAGAAAAATTATGATGAAGTCTAAAGTTGGGTATTTTGACAAGCTAGTCACTGAGACAAGCATGAAGCAAAGTGGACAACAGAACTGTGAACATATGACATTATATAAAAACTTAAAATCTACACGTAGGAACCAAAAAACCTGTTCTCAAAATAAATCATGAATCATGATGTGCAAATCTCATTGAAAAATAATTCAATTAGATTAATTACGATGCCTAGAGAGGAACTTCATTAATTTGGACAATGTGACTGAAAACAACAGTTGCTCACTTTTTTCTATCATTACTTACATCTCTCATCATTTTTACTGCTTCTCGTATTCTTCCAAGTTTTCTGGCACACATAGCTAGTCTCCTTTTCACGTATACCAATACATTGGTATCTCTTCCTGATTACAAAGACCAAAAAAAAAAAAAAAAGTCTATCAGTTTCAATCTGTACCTCTCCTTCCCTCTCTCAAAAAAACCCTCCAAAAAACAAAAACCACTGAAAACCCCCACAACCTTTTTCCTAACCATGTATAAAAGCATAATTATTACTTCTGTCCCAATCCAGGCCCATCTCAACTGATGCCAGCAACTCTTAACAAGGCTAAATGACAAAAAAATTCTGGTTTTTTTTTCCCCAAAACACTGGGTGGAATAAAAGGAGGTGCTACTGACACACACCAATTGCTTTGTTATTCTGCTCTACCCATCTAACTTTCCAAGACAATCATGTACCGAGCCGCAGCGAGACAACCCACGACGAACACACGGCGTAACCGCCGCTGCCGGCACTTGATTCAGGTACCACAAAAGCTCACACAGCATGCCATGCGTGAGCACTGTAGGAACTGCCTCAGTGAACTGGGAACCAAACTAGAACCGCTAGTTACAGCTTCAGTTTTACATTTCTGCTCACAACACAAAAACAAGAGTTTATGTGATTCAGAAGCCCTTACTCAGCTGTGCTTCGTGCTGAGGACTTTGGGAATGGCAGTTCTGAGACTTTCTGTAAATCATTTCTCCTGCTTTCAGAGCCTGCTTGAAATACTTCTCAGCATCCACAATAGTTGTTGCTTCTTCCTCAGCCAGGAGAACGTATGCAGTGGCACAGCTGTAATAAGGAAAAAAACACTAAATATTTTGAGGGATAAAGTTCAGTATTTTTAACATAAGTGTTAAAAGCATTAGAAATGGGCAGTTTTCACTTGTGTTTAATATCTAAACATTGACAATATTAAAGTACCAAAAAATTGACTAGAGTTCAAATGGTGAATGTCAGGAAAACAGAAAACATTTCTGTTTTACAGAAAGCACAGACATTCAGAGAAATAACAAAAGAAAGAACCGTAACAGCAAGTCAAATTATTTTCCTTCAAATATTAAAAATGCTCTGGTAATTGGAAAGGGGTTTTGTGTTTGGTTTGCTTTCCTTTTTTAAAATCAGGAGGTAGACATTTTACACAATAACAACGAGACCACATAACAAAACAGCAGTGCATGAAATTACTTGGTTTGTGTTGTAAGAGTATTTCTAAATGCCCTAGAGGATTGGCATCTGTGAACTCCAAATGAAGTGTTACCACAGTACCATCTCTGAAACACATACGATCTTACATTCAATTTAAACTGTTCCACATCTGAGTAAGATCTCATTTGTTGCTACTGATACAGATTTAAAACAAAATCTTTCCCAAGGGAGAACAAAAGCTACTTTTTTATATAACGGTTCAATACTTCAGTGCAACTGACAGCCCCATGTGCAATTCTCATAGGCACAGAAGTCCTGCTTAAGCTAATCAGAACTTTGCTAAACAAGGAACTGTTAATGTGCTCAGTATCACTCTGCTTAACCTTTCACACTAGAAATACAGCAACTGAATTTACACACTGAACTTACTCATTGTTCAACTCTAAAGCTTGATATGCTGCTTTAATCCGGGCTTGAGGGTTTCTCTCTCGCCATGCTTTCTGCATAACTGTTGCAAAAACATTGAAAGGCTGGTGAGGGACAGAGACACCGGCGAAACACCTGGGAGCCAATGGAGGCAACGCTGGCTCTTACACGTCAGCTCTACATTAACATTCACTTCCATTTTGCAAATTCCTGTTTGCTATATGACTGTTACAGGGAAGAGTAAACAAGTGTTTTAATTCCAGCATGAGTTTCCACCACAAGCAGCAGAATCTCGCAACTTCTCATTACACTCCAAATTTAGGAAAGCAACACCACCAGGAAGGTTATTCACTGACCATTTAAGAACTCCCACACTGAGAAGCAAAGACAGCTTACATAACCAGGCAGATGTACAATTTCTAAATTGCTACAGATTTTTGGACATGTTTCCCAAGACTTGTTGAAAGCTTGGCAGGAACAGTTGTTAAACACAGGTTCTTGCACAGACCTGCACAGAATTTTAATTTAAGCTTTCAAACAGAACTTCAAAGAAACAGTGATAGAGTAAGCTGTGCCTTGCACAGGTATAGTTTCATACTTAAGTATTTAGACAACTACCGTATCATAAAGGGTTAAACAATTCCTGTTTAACTTTACAAAGCACATTTGAGTGGCATAACACAGCAAAGCCAATTCAAGATCTATAATATTTTATCACCTTTCTAGAAAGTTTTCTAGGAAGCAATTAAAAAGGGTAGAATTATCTATTCAAAAGGGTCATTTGAATTACAACTTGAATTCAAAATTACAGTCGGATAAGGAGCAAACAAAAGTTCCACACAATGACTCTTAAACCCTTTTGCAGTTATGCTTCCATTAGGGAAAAGTGGAAATCCCAAACTGAAAACCAACTTCTAGCAAAACAGCATACTCGGAGCTACCATTTTCTATACAGAACTAATAGCTTTCACACTAAATAACAGTTCCGAAAGAATTCCAAAACCTTATGTTCATGGAGTTACATATCTGGCCTATCTCAAGTACAGTAAGAAAACTGAAGACCCTACACATGTTTCTTTTGGAACAAAACCTTCTGCTGTCCAGCAAGAGTAACGTGGAAAAATGTTTGAGTTTTCTTTTGGAAACAAAATATTAGTCTTGGCTTAGCAAGCGAGACAATACACTCCATTTTGTGAAACAAAAACACATCATTCATATCAAGCATGTCACAGCCAGCTGACAAGTAACACTTCCGGAACTTGACAAACTGAGACTAGTTCGCACCCAGTCTGACAATAACCAGGTAGAGAACATTTTCTGCACTGTGCACGTGGAACACAACAAAAAAATTCTGGAGGCTGCACTATTCATTGCTGTGGTTTAAATGAGACCACATCTTTGGCCGTTGACAATACAATCCAGGTTTTCAACACTGTGTTGTTAATTATCTGGAAAGTGTGATACCTTAAAATACGTCAGGATCCTGACAGCCTTACAGTTAGTAGAGAAAGCACAAGGTAAAAAAAAAAAAAACATCTTTTCACTAAATACATCTATTAAACCTCCTTAGTAGTTGAGAAAGGCTATGATCTCACAAAACATTTGACACGATAGCTTGTCCTACCTTGAAGTATATTAAAAATACCCATTTCACACTCTCCAATAGTTATATACCTTATGCATACGACATTGGTACCTGTATCTGAGGGTCGAAGAGCATCTGTATCACATGTGAAAAAGTTCTGATGATCTTGAGCAGACAAATTCATGTCATAGTATGTAAGAGGCTCCTTCCCAGTCACCCACATGTATCTTTAACAGAAGAAATTTCAGTAAGAAACACTCCTAGTAAATAGCAATGCTGATACCAAGGGGGATATCTGACCTGTCTAAAAACTGAAGCTAGTGCAGAAAATTTTTATTAATAAAAAACTGGAGCTACTAACCAGAAGTTTCCAGTCATACTGTTCCATAATCTGTACAGGTTGTAAAGTTCTAAACAACTTCAGAACTGCCTTCCCTATGAAATAACACAAGGAGACTTACAATACAGCCCTATCAGTTTAATAAAAGAGAATATAGATTGAGAATTACTATCTCAACCTCCAAATAAAGTCTTTCTCCTACTTTACTCTCAAATAACCTGATGATGTTACAGTAGTTTTTGCACCCTTAACACTGAAACTGGCAGAGCTTGGACGGGTGCCTTTTAAACACAGGATTGGCATCAGTCACCCCTACTGTGGGTCTCAGTTGTCTCCTGATGTTGCTAGCGAAGAAGTCATACGTATGCCCCTGACTAATTTTAAAAATATGCAGTGGAAAGTAAGATAATAGTAAGATAATTCATACCTGCTATACTCTGCCCCTCTGAAAAGATTGAGAGGGTTTCGCCACACTTTGCACTCTGGGGAAAAAAAAAAAAAAAAAGTACTTTTTGAATTAAGAGCACAGGAAATACTACCTTGACTTTAAAATGCAGTAATACAGATGCAGCTTTACTTTCAAAAGCTGTTTTAATTTTATCATTATACAACCTGAGCACAATCATACGATCTTATTCATAAGCTTCTGCTACCCCATAAATATTTTTCTCCCCAACATTGCTGGGGTACAAAAGCACATGGTGGAAAGATTAAACACTGCCATTTACACTCATGCAATATTTATCTTGCACATATTCTGAACAGTAAATATCTAATGGTACTAAAACAGTTCGAGCTAAATGTGTAATACATTCTCTAAATACTATTTTTAATAATGAAAGCATTAGATCACAGATTTATTTATTGTTTAGTTTATTTTTACCATTATTAATAAAACACATTGTAAGGTGTAGGCCTTTCTCCAATTCCTACAAACACTAATGCAGAGTCAAAGCCATTTAAAAGCCAGTTCAGGTGAACCAGCCACCTGAAGCGTAAGGAAAACTGCTGGCACATATTAACAGTCACCTGGCATATTCTGCCGGCTTGTCTCATTCTCTCCAGCAGAGAATGCTGCTGGGGCTGGAGGGCTGTTTTCTGCCCCACCGATGAGGGGCCTCAAATGACTCACAGAAACCTGCTCAATGAAAGACGTGCCATATTTTCGGAAATGCCACCACTCAAACACCTGTCACAGGAGAAAAAACAACAAGAAATTTCTTTAGGTGACACCCTCCCAACATAAACATCTGAGATGAAGAGCCAACTGTTTACAGCTAGTACATCCCCTTGCAAATGACTGTAAGATGGACCGTATCTACATATAAATTAACACTAATTATCTGTTTTGGCCTGTCTCATCATGCAGGATCACCCACATAACAAGAAAGAGACTGAAAAAAAAACAGTAAAATTTTAGTCAGAGTATGTTCCTCCCTCCCCAAGCCATTAGGATAACTACTAAACCCTCTCAGAAAGTGCCTGTATAGAGAAACTGTGCATAAAGGCAAGAACCTCAAGACAGGTACAGTTTTTTGTCATTTCACAAAAATAATCTAAAAGAATAAAGCACAAAATGGACAGTTAAACTGACATGTTTTTCCATTCAGAAAAGCCCAAAGAGAAAAGGCTGAATTAACAGCAGTCAAGTTCACTTACCAGAAATTCTGAATCAAAAATATTACCATCTCTCTCTTTGAAGCTATTAAAAATACCTGCACATCACAAGTCCACAAGCACTGTATTGTACTGTCAGCCCTGGACCAACTTACCTGAGTATTTTCACTAGTAGGCAGAAAGACACGATGTTGAGACAAACTGTATTCTTTGTTAAGAAGTATTACTCTGAATAGTGGTTGACCAATAACGACCTTTTTCTCTTAAGAGCAAACCTATGTAAAGCATACCTATCACGAGCAGAGTCCATCTCCTTATAAGACTTTCTTCAAATCCTTCAATCAAAACCCAAGCAACATTACAGCAAATAAATTGTTTCTGCCACATAAGACACTTCTTTTTTTTTTAATGGTGGCTACAAAAAAAAATCATCCATGAAACAAATTTTGCACATTCTGGTAAATAGGTTGAATTGATGAGAAGAGACATTTGCTTTAGCTTTTAATACAGAAAATAAAAATTAACTCAGAAGATTTTTTGATAGTTCCACGGTCTGCATGAGGCTCAGATGACTGTCACTGCAGAAACAGCTGCGCTAGCAGAACTGACCCCTTTTGTTTCGTACAAAGTCAGCCATGTCCGTGCACACTGTCATCTGAAGACGAGCTGAATTATTGGCTCATTTTGACACCAAAGTTGCTAAGAAAGTTACATGACACATGCACAAAAGCCCTCCAAAATTACTGTGGGAAGCTAAACTCTTAAAAACCTAGTTTAAAAGAGATAAAAATCTCAGTGTTATCTTTATACTGAGGTCTGCAGAGTTTGCATGTATACTTTGCATTTTTAATGTATCTATGTGTATACACACATATATGTATACATCCATATGGACACATACCTCCTTAAAATAGGCACAAGTTATTTTCCTTACTCACCCCAAAGTACAACACATAACAAGAGAGTATGTACAATACATTAGAGAAAATACTAAACAAGTTCCTCCCTAGTACAAATGCACCCTCTAGAGTCTGATCAAAAAAAAGCCAATTGCATTTACCCCTAATGGAAGCATCTTAGAAGCACTAAAGTTGTCTAAAAACCATAAAAGCAGACTACTTACAAATATCAATCCAGATATAAAAGATGAAGTCACTGTAAGGGCAAAGTAGAATTTCGGAGTCAAAGTGCTTAAGAACACAGTCACTGTTGGGAGAAACAAAACCAAAGACTTAACAAACAGAACTTAAAAACACAAACAGCTTTTTATTAAACAGTGGCAAGTTAAATATTATGCAAATATATAATACCAAATAGCCCCAGCAGTTTTACATATAATGTTGCTTTGCTAGAGAATCCTTTCCGTATCTTCAGTTTGCAGTCACCTGTGACAGTGAATTAGGTTATATACCCAATCTAAAAAATTCAGTGTAAGTTCTTAGACAAAGCAGCCGACAGTTTCAACTATATTCACGGCTGGTGCACCACAACAAGCCATTTTAACGTATTCTTTCATTTTAATCTAAAACGGCACATCCCGTTTCTACGCGAGTTTATCTTCAGTGTTACAAACACACGTTTTCCACAGACCTCCCCTTCCTGGTACTCACAGCACGAGGCCGGGACTGCAGGTTTTTAGCGCTACCCCGACCCAAACTGCCCGCCAGCTGTGCCCCCCGCCCGGGCCGGGGAACGGGGGCCCGGCGCGGGGCTGGAATTCGCCCCAAATCAGCCTCCGGGCCCGACGAGACAGCCCCGGGAGCGGAGCAGGGGGACTCGGCCCCTTCCAGCCGCCCCGGGGGCCCGGGCTGCAGCGAGGGGGCACCGCGGAGAACCGGGGGGGGGATGTCCCCAGACCCGGCGGGAGAAGGCGACACAGCGGGGGCCGGGCTGAGGGGACGGCCCGGGCGTTCCGGGCCCGCAGCGGCAGCCCCAAGGCCCTCACCCCCCCGCCGCGCCCTCGCCCCTCCCGGCGCGGCCCGGCCCGTCTCACCGGCCGCCAGGCTGTCCCGGAGCCGCAGCGGCACCCGCAGCACCACGTAGAAGAGGCCGAGCCCGGCGGCCGCCGCCAGCAGCCCGCGGGCCCAGGGCGCCGCCGCCGCCGCCCGCCGCCGCAGCCGCTCCCAGCGCCGCAGCGCTGCGGCCGCCCCGGGGCACGGCGGCCCGCGCCCGCTCCCGCCGCTGTCCGCCATGGCGGCCGCCGGGGCACGCCGGGAGAGGGGAGGGGCGCGGCGAACTCCGCCGGCACGGGCGGCGAGCCCGCGGCCAGGGGCCGGCGCGTCCCGGTGTCCCGCCCCGCCCCGCCCGCTCCTGCCATGGCCGCCGCGCGGCCTCTGCCCGCAGCCAGCATGGCGCCGACGGCACTTCCGGCGGCGGCGCCCCGCGCGGCGCTCCCGGCATGCTCGGCGCGGGGCCGGGGCTAGAGCTGCCAAAATGGCCGACTTCGAGGAGCGGGTGTCGGACGAGGAGAAGGTAAGGAGGGGGCTGCCCGGCCGCGGGGGGCCGGCACCGCTGGCCCCGCAGCGCCGGCGGGCGGGGGGCGATCGCCCGGTGCCTCCGGGCCGGTTTGGGACCCGGTCGCCCCCCGAGAGCGGCCGGGCCGCCGCTGCCCGGGCGAGAGGCCGGCCGGCCGGGGATCAGCGGGTCCTCACCAGCGCAACGCTCTGCGCTGCGATTTCCGTGTTGCCTGGGTGCGGCTGAGGTGCCTCGGCGCATCTTCCTGCGTGAAAATGCAGTTTTTGCTCTTCGGCTTGCTTTTCCCAGGACAGCAAAGTTAGCGGCGTCTTGAAAAGGCGCTGTTCAGCCCCTGCGGTTCCAAACCACCTTCAGAGCGTGTCTTCGCGTCTTCTGCTTGCCCCGGCTGTTGACAGTAACTTTGATGTAGATGCCGCAGACTACCCTGGGTGGAAGGAACTAAGCAGAAGCAAATAGAGCAATATTTATTTTAAGAAAGGGAGAAACGAACAGATTGCTCCTCTTGTGTAGGAATCTGGGAAAATTACAGTCTTGCAAGCAGCACTTGAGTTTCATTTAACAAATGAAGAGATCACCTCTTCTGCTAGGCAACACTAGTTACCTACAAACGGTAGTTTAAAAATGCACCGTTACTCTTCCTTACATCATCAAAATATTACATGTAGCTTTTTGCTTTGTTTCTTAATGTTCTGGAGGGGGTGTTAAGACTCACGCATCTTCAGGGATCCTATGAGTCTGGAGCCTGCTTTAACTTTTCTCTTAAACTGTGAGTTTTGGCTTTGTGGTAGTACCATTCATTGTGAAACAGGCAGATAGAGTGTTAAAGGTGTCATTCATCCTTTAGTTAATATTTTAGATGACATAATCGTTGTCTGAAATGAGTGTTCCCAAACAGAATTCATATGATTTTCAGTACATAACTGAAATCTATCCAGTGGTGTATAAAATATTTTACCTGATGTCATTTGGCTAGATTTCATTTGAAGTGCTAAAATTGGGGTTATCTTTGTATTTGATGTGAAAATTAAAGTATCTTGGGCATTGTGGTGGTACAGGATTGAGAGTGAAGGAGGTGAAGTAAATTGCTTTTGGTAATCTAGCAAGTCCCTAAAGAGCTGGAAGTAAAACTGGGGTCCCGGTTTGCTGGCTTACATCCAGGCTAGCTATTTAGTCTGGGAATGAGAGTCAGTGTTGCAAGAGCCTGGGGTCACTAGGCATTTTTTTCCTCCTCCCGCTGCACTCACCTGAAATCTGTAATTCTTTCAAAGCACTTGTGGGGAAGATTTGTCCCTCAAGAAGAGGCTCTTCAGAACTGCATGTGCCCAAGAACATTATTTGGCAGAGTAGGTGGGTTTTGCTTGAAATCAGAGCCTACGTTCTACTTGATGTCCCAGCTTAGGCAACCTGGATGCAGTTTAAAGTAGCTCCAGGCATGCCTAGCGCAGGTAGAAAAGGATAATCTTAAATGAGGATCTGAAAAAGAAACATGCAGCAAAGATTTAGCATAGTATCCGTTTTATAACTGTTCAGATAGGTTTAGAACTTTTATATATGTTTCCTTTTCTAAGTCTGAGTTTGTCAGTGCTTTAAGATAAGGCAAAGAAAGAAATCAATAGAGCAACAACATTAATTCATCTGATCCCCCCCCAGCCTCACTTCTTTATTCTCTATAGGCATATTTCAGGTAAGCTAAGGGATGTATTTTAGTTTAAAGTCTACTGCAGTGTACCCTATTGTCTACTGAAGTTCATTGTGCTGCCATTATTGCCAGCTTAAACGAATGGTTGAGCGGTTTCCCTCAGAAACTTTCCCCATTTTAGAAGCAGGAAGTTAATTTTGCTAGCATGTTGCAGAGCTACCTGAAATGGCAACCATGGCCAGGAAGTAGGTCGGTTCGCAGAAAGTCTTATTTTTGCACTTCTGCAAATGAACATCCTGCCACTGTGCTGACACCACTTTGAAACAAAACAACTCTAAAAAATGACAGCAATTCAAATGCTTGGCATTTAGAATTAATTGCTCAGCAGACTGTGTCCTGCACTCCACTCCCCATTTCGATACTTTGACGTAAATGCTTTGTATTTTATTACTCCAGAAGAGAGGCAGGGCTAGGGATACTTTGTAAAAGTAAACACTTTTCTCTTGCAGCTTTTGTGGTGTTTATGGCTGTTGTTGTGGTAACATTTGATTTAAATGCAGAGTCCGTTCTGTGTTTTAATTTTGTTCATCCTCCCAAGTGGAAGAATCCGTAGAAGACTGTAAAAATCTCTCCTGTAATATTTGGGGTTTTTTTTCACAAGGATCTATTTATGAGAATACATTGATCTAAAAACCTGTTAAAACAGTGGTCACTTTTATGACGGTTCCACGTATGGTACAGTTCTGCAGCCACAGCAGTGTTGCATACATTTATAAGATACTAAATTTTATGGGGTTTTAGGCGTCTTATTTTTCCATATGTTGAAGCACCTTATAAAAGGGAATCTATTCATCTGGGGAGTTAATTTGCAGGATGCATCCTCATGCAGTCTTCCCACTGAGCGGCAGCGTGGCACAAAGTGGTCCATACTTGCAGGCGCTTTAGCACAGTGATATGCCTGCACTCGTGCTTAGCGCTTGCTTACAAAAGCACACGGTGTCGTTTCAGAAGTCTTTCAGCCATATAGGACTGGTTCTCAGCAAAGTCCACAGAGGATATCAAGCAGCAGTGTCCCTCTTAATTACTGCTAGATTATCTTCATCACCATCCAAGATTTCGGATAGTGAAATCTAACAACATTATGGCAGCAATGTGTCCTAGTGACAGTTCATTAAATAGTGAAAATTTTCACTAACAGTAAGTGCTGCATTTTTAGAATTGCTGTATACTTACTGACCTTATCTAAAAGCAGAAAATTAGGAGAAAATGGTTTGATGTTCTCTAGTGTATCAGTTACACAAGTTACTGACTTTCTAGTTTTTTCATTTGTATTGCATAATCACTTAAGGCATGAAGAATGTATTTTTTTTTTTTTAATAGATGCTAATTTGGAATACAATCTATTTTTATCTGAAGCTCAATCCAGTTAAGGCAGATTTGTTACTTCATACTGTTGGAATAATGCAACATACCCTTTGTTTGGAAAGCTGTTTATTTCCTTTAATTGCTTGCTTTAAATCATGTGACAAACAATTTCTCATTAAAATGGGGAAGACTACTGAGAGAAGCAAGTTATTTACAGCTCTGGCAGTAACTCAGTTAAAGTAGCTGGATATATACACACTCCTTTGTTTCACTACTCAAAATGAGAAGTAGAAACAGTAATCAGAGTTGTAATGAGCACTGCTCTGCAGTCATCTTCAATACATGTCTAGTTGAGCAAGAAGGGCTCATTGCACAGCTTTGTTAGCTGTGCTTATTGGAAGAAATGTGACATTTTTATTACTCAGAGGGAGAGGTTTAATTTTGTGACGTTTCTTATTTCAAGTCTTCCAAGATGATTCTATTCCCTTTGGCCCTGTAAAAAACATAAAAGATTTGATTGTGAAAACCATAAACTCTTACTAGTTTCAGCAGAATCAATACCTAGACCACCTAAATTCTAACAATGCAAGACATGTATATTGGGTTTCAGAACACAGTGCAGTTTTATTACTTTTTAGAATAGAATGGGTTTTTCTTTTCCAGCTGCAAAGTTTGCAGACGTTCAGGTATTTTCCTTACAGTTGGCCTTTTCAGTTAGCTATTGTACCACTCAGTTCCACAAGCCTGAATTCTTCCACGGTTCTGACAGTTCATGGCTGCACTACAGTACAGTTTCCAATAAAATACTACTTCAAGAGCAGAGAAGTAATGTGCCACAGAATGGCATGGGTGATGTGTCTACTGCTCAGGATTAGAAGTGACCAGGGCAACATTAGAGGATCAAGGGGAAAGAAAACAAAACAAAACAAAACAAAACAAAACAAAAAAAAAAAAAAAAAAAAAACCAACCCAACCCAGCATCTGCTGAAATTTGGATGGTTTCATTTGGAGGCTCTGTCTGACTTCTGCGGTTCATTCTGGCACTTTCCATCACCTCCTCCATTTCTGTCAGTTCCCAGCTTTTTACTTTGTATGCCCATACCACCTTCTGCACTCTGAGCACATCAGTGGCTTTTCAGAGTCCTTGAGGCATAATTAACCCTGGAAGCAGTCCCGTGGCAGTTGATGTAATTGATTTACTGCTCCATTTCTAGAGGGATCAACCTCTCATCCTTCACACACTGTTTGCTGTGAAGCAGTGGCATCTCCTTCAGCCAGTCATCAGCAACAAATAAATTGCATCACAGAGAATCACGGTGTCCTGCAATACATGGCAGACGCTCCTGAGCTACGTGGTTGTGCTGTAGGTTACTATCTAGTCACGGTGTCACTTTTACTGCAGTGCTTTCTTACTCTTTCTATACCTTGGCATTTAGGTTTCTGATTACTAGCAAGGATCAGGAAAAAAACATCGGGTAGGAATGTCTCCAAAAAGAGTGGCTAGGCAGCATTCGTATTCTTTAAATAGGTTAGTACTATGCAGGTTGAACAGTTCACATTTTTACAGGTGCCCCTGCACTTCTTCCTGAGTACATTTGGAATTATTCTGCTTGGTTACAATGAAAAAAATCTGGTCTTTTGAGACTATTTCTATTTTGATAATATATTCATAGATTTCTCTAAATGCAGCACTTCCTATCCCAGTTGGAGTTGGTTTTGTTGGCAAATTGCTTCAGTGGAGGTTGCGGTATATATGAACTCAGTAAGTTATCTTTTGTCTTTAGTTTAATTACTTTTTTGCTTCATTGTAGGTGCGTATAGCTGCAAAATTCATCACTCATGCACCCCCTGGAGAATTCAATGAAGTATTCAATGGTAAGTAAATAAGGAAAAATGATCCATAGTGTTTCCTTCAAGTTTTGTCTATTATAAGAGTCTAAGGCTATCACAACATACTGCTTTTAAGGTTAAGAAGTGGTAAGGGAAAAGCATGCTGTCATTCTATGACTATGTATGCTTAATGAAATGATTTAATCATTTTAATGTTTGCATTTGTACAGTTGAAAATTAAATGCATGAAGAGAAGCATTTGATCAAAAAATCCAATAACCTCCCTGAACTCTCTCTTCTCCAGATGTCCGGTTATTGCTTAACAACGACAATCTTCTCAGGGAAGGAGCAGCACAGTAAGTACTAATATTTCAAACACAAGTTAAATTACCATCAGAGATGCATATATTTTCTTACACCCATCATTCTGTAACAAAGCAAGCCATTTGTTGTATTGAGTGTGATCTTCTGTAATTCCTTATCCGCCCAGCAAAATACGTAATGAAAGGTATGGATGATTCTTTGAAAAAGTCCTAAATTGGAATTTGTGCTGTAGAGGCAGGCCATATAAAACTGACAGGAAGGCACTCTGCCAAAAAGTTTAACTCTGCAGCAGCAGGATTGTCTGATCTTGTTGAAGCATGATTTGTAAAGCAAATGAAACCTGAAATACTGATGAGTAATCCTTAGCTGAAGTTTAGAAAAAGAACTGCCCTCAAAACAAAAAAAAAGTTTTCAAAATATCTTGTTTACTTGCGCAGTCTCATCAGAAGATGGTTATGCATACAAGCATTTGCTGTTAAGATTTTACTTCAAGCTAGGTGACATGTCAGCAGGTCTTTACATAAGAAAATTGTTTGTTTTCTTCTCGGTTGTTTACGTTGCTGCTGTCTAAATTGTAGCTGGGGTGTTCCTGTTTTGCCTTGGCTTGCTCATATGCCCTGAGGCTGCCTGCTGTTCTACTTTTGAACTCTGTACTTTCCTGGTCATCACTAAATAAATCTGGCTTTAGCCCTGGGTTTTTATAGCTATCGTCAATAAAGGCATTGAAAAATCCTTTAAGAGTGCTTGTGTGTATTATTTGCCAAATAAAGTTGAAATTTTCTGTAATATAAATCAGACCATGTACTTACTCTTGAGTCAAATAAATGTGTATGCACAGCTAAAGTTCATGTTCTTTTAATTCTTAACAGTGCATTTGCACAGTATAACATGGATCAGTTCACTCCGGTGAAGATAGAAGGGTATGATGATCAGGTAAGAGAAAGCTTTTTACACTTGAGGTTTGTATTACTACCCTGTGCAAAAACAATAAAAATGTTGTTTCATCAAGATGTTGACTAGTTTCCTTCTACTCACAAGTTATTACCTCTCCTCCTTCCCCCACACATCATTATATTACTAAACTTCTGTTCTCATAGAAGCAGCATGTATGAAATGTTCTCTTAAAGTTCTGTCTGATACTATCTGGTAACTAATTCATTGTTCCTTAAGTAAAGATCGATGCTGAAGTCACTGGAATTCTAGAGGATGAATGAGTAAAGATTACTCTTTAGTTAAAGCTCACTTACAAATCCTTACGTTGCTACCTGCGTACAGTTCCTGCTGACAGTCGCTAGTAGATTCTTAATAGTATTTTCCTTCTGATTTTCTGCATCTTTAATCCATTCCCACCTATCCAGCTATCCTAAAAAAGTATGGTTTCTTTGATGATACCAATCTAATACTATCCACCCTATGCCAGCAAAACAGGTTTTTTTCTTTTGGGGTTTTTTTTTTGAGAACAAGCAGCAAGTCCTACAGAAGCCAGAAAGCTGGCCTGACCATCTGTTCAATTCTCTGAGCCAAGTACTGACCTAGCTTTTCTGGTGTCCCAGATATGTTCATGGGAGACAGATATTTTTAAGAGGGCTGCCCACAGCTTTGACATGAGAAAGTTACAGTACAGCCGTCAAAAAAAAAAAAAAAAATCAGTGTTTGAAAAGACAGAGAATTATGGTGAATAAGACAAAGGAGAGGGAAGGCTGTGTAGTTTGTGTATATTAGAAGTAGCCACATTTATATACCATCTTAACTAGAAGGAGAGCTATTGCAACATGGAACATGACAATAAATGGTAAATTCCAAAGTAAAATTCTTTGTTTCCTTTAGAAATGGGGAAGGAAAACAGCCAAAATAACTTTAAAAGTAAAACCACCTGTTTGTATCGTAAGGATGCTCAACTTTAAGCTAAATATATACCTTATTATAATACAGCTGTTTCTGGGACAGAAGGCTGCTATGAAGGACAGAGTTTACACCCCCACTACAACTACTCTTAGTTGAAATTATTACTGAAAATCCTTGTTTCTTGATGTGATATTAATGCTCAATGAAAGAGTCTATTGAAACATTGATATCTGTTTAAGTAGGGAATAACACAAACCAGCACATTTACAATAGCGTAAACAAACATATCTTAACTTCTTTTACAGGTCTTAATCACAGAACATGGTGATCTGGGCAATGGCAGATTTTTAGATCCAAGAAACAAACTTTCTTTTAAGTTTGATCATTTAAGGAAAGAAGCAAGTGACCCCCAGCCTGAGGACACGGAATCAGCTTTAAAACAATGGAGAGATGCCTGTGACAGTGCACTGAGAGCTTATGTGAAAGATCATTACCCCAATGGCTTCTGTACTGTTGAGTATCCCTCTTCTTTCACTGAAAGTTCATTGCTCTGTGTCAGTCAGTACCTTGAGTGGACTTTGTGCTGGGCAGTGCTGTGTGAATTCTCCATCCTCATTAGTGTTTTTGCTAACTTTGGAATAACAAGTTCCAAAGAGGGTGCAAATATCTTGGTATGCACACAGTGGTGAAGATGTATTAGACCTCGGTTTTCAGAGTCACGACTGCCAAGCACCTTAACACCTGCAGTTAATAAAAAGGAGGTATTATTTGCCCATGCCTGCAAGTGGAGGCGTTGGACAATGTAATTAGTGGTACAGGTTCCCAGTGAGATACCACAATAGCAAGCCTCCACAGTGCTGCCAAGAACAGAAAATAAGAATTACTTTCCTCAGCTCTTGGGCCATTTTAACTCTTTTTCTAAATACAGGTTTATGGTAAATCTATAGATGGGCAGCAGACAATTATTGCCTGTATTGAGAGCCACCAGTTCCAGCCCAAAAACTTCTGGTAAGACTATTTCAACACAGTGTATTTTCTTCCTTTACTAGTCCTTGAACAAACCCATCCTCTCTGTCTCCTGACACTCTGAAGGGCAAGTAGTCCTGGGCTTGCTGAGAAGTTCTGCTTCTCATTCTGTAGTCTGTTTGCCTTGCGGCCCCCTTGGCATTTTCCCAGAGCCTTCAGTGTGGCTCGGTGACCTACCCAGGGAGAAGGGCATTATCAGAGGTAGATATATACCCCTTAGGTATTCCAGAGCACAAGTACGCTGGAGCTAGTCTGTACTGAAGCTGCATTGTGTGCAGCTGTGCTTCAGAACTGTAATTCAATGCCATGTAAGGCACTGCAGTACTGGTCATAAGACAACAGCAGAAACAACTTGCTCATGTTAGTTTGCTGCTTTTTGTTCCTGGAGCTGTTTGGAAATAGTTTTCATGCTTTGATTGTTTTTAGGAACGGTCGTTGGAGATCAGAATGGAAGTTTACCATCACACCACCAACAGCTCAAGTGGCTGCAGTGCTCAAAATCCAGGTGAGCGACTTTTTTCTGGCAATAACAGAAGCTGCATTGTGCTTCTCTTACACAAATGTATTTGACTCAGAACGAGATGCTGAGATACAGCCGAAATGTCCTTCTCAAGTCAGGATGCTATTAAATTATACAATTCAAGAAATTAATTCTTAAATCTAGTGTTTCAGACATCATCTACAATCTGGCCTGTGGTTTATTATATAGCGTTACCCTATGTGCCTCCAAGTCTGCTTCACTTTGTAGAGCTAAAACCTATACCATGAATTCTTTTATAATTGCTCTTATTTCAACTCTAGGCATTAACATAATCTTGAACAGTCTTGACAAAGAATGAAACCTTTTAGAAAATCCATCCTGCTTTTAGTCTCCACGTAAGCAGAGAAGACTGGCATAACAATGCTGTTGTGCCATTCTGGTAGCATTTGGGGGCTCTAGGGATTATAAAATGAGTGTTAATGATAACCTGCATTTTGTCTCTTTGTTCAGGTCCACTATTATGAAGATGGCAATGTTCAGCTGGTTAGTCATAAAGATATCCAGGACTCTGTACAGGTTTCAGTAAGTATGCTAAAAGATTTTGTTACGATAAAGCAACTCTCTTGTTTCTTAAACATCTCATGAAGCATGCACTTCTGTGACTACATTCTCTTGACTTTAAAGTAATGTAATTTTAGGGTGCCTAGTCAGTGTAGTTGTAGTGTTCGGAGTTACATGGGAAACCCAGATTCTCAACTGCTCAAAGTTAGACTGTGTTAGAAAGTACGGTCTCTATTGGAAAGCTATTCTTACAAGTTTCAGTAAAAGAGGGCAGAATATGCTTTTCTGTCTATACACAAGGGAGATGATCACTAAGAGCAGTGTACTAAGGGAAAATAAGAAATCCTGTACTATGGTAGATGAAGCAACAGTCACAAAACCCTTAATTATACCGTGAAGGTCATCTTCCCTTTTGCTCACTAGGGTGCAGTCCTGTTTCAGTTTGCAGCCCAAGTTCTGGCCAGTCCATGCCTCAGTCTTGAACCTCACTGAGACACCCACAGTGAGTGAAAGGATCCCAGCTACAAACATGAGGTGGAAACTGCTGGTGTTATCCACTTCATCTATACTCAGCCTATCATTTAAGAAGAAATCTGTTGTCTAACTTCCGTAAGTTGCTCTTAAACATATAAAAAATTATTTTTCCCCTTTGTAGAGTGATGTCCAGACAGCTAAGGAATTTATTAAGATAATAGAAAATGCAGAAAACGAGTACCAGGTAAGATCAATGATAGTTAAACAAATCTCATGGAATCATATCAGTCTCCATTTACTGTTAATGGAAACTTGACCTCTAATTCTGTTTCTGGCTGAATCTGGTATCAACTGTAAGAATTACTTAGAAAAGGGCAGCAGTATTTGTTTGAATAATATAGTTGTAGAGCTACATGTAATTAATAATCAAGTTTGCTATGTAGTTATTTCAAAGGGTTGCAAATGGTGCCTGGAACAAGCATGGAAGGGTGAGTCTAAATGTTTTCCTCTGTGAAAGCTAAAAATACTGAAGAGGAAATTTGTGTGACAGCTTGACAGCCTTTTACATTGTCCCAGCCTGTGTGCAAGGAGACTCAATACAGATAAGGCAGTGAAACACCTAAGGAGACGCTGCTACATCCACGGGGGAGTTTAACAGAAAGCCTTGTGCTTGCACACACGCGGGTGCCTGCATTATTAATGTAGTTAGTAGTGTGCCTTCGCCTGGAGAAAGGGTTTTGTGGCTTTAACACAAAGTCATGCTTTCTAGAGTATCTTCTCCCTGTTGTAACTGAATCGACTTGCCGTTGCAGACAGCAATCAGTGAAAACTACCAGACCATGTCAGACACCACTTTCAAAGCCTTACGCCGGCAGCTGCCCGTCACCCGCACCAAGATCGACTGGAACAAAATCCTCAGCTACAAGATCGGCAAAGAAATGCAGAATGCTTAATGCAGAAATAAGGAGGTTTATGAAATGTTTGCGTGCAAAAAACAAATGTGGTCCTATGCCAAGTAGATGGTTTCTAAACCAGTGCAGCATTTTTCTAGGGCTTTCGAAGTTAACAGGTTTTCTAGCCACAGAGAGAACTGTGGAACAAATAGTGTTGTCTTTGTGTTTTGTGTTTCCTGCCGCATAAACTTCCTGTTGTGACTGCATTTACTGATAGGTCATTTTAATTAAGCCACAGTCATGGTTCAGAAGTATAGCTGTTCTCAATTGCTGATTGTACTGGTTGGAAAACTTCCTAGCTGGAAAAGCCCTATTACAAATACAGCTGAGGGTGCAGAGCATTCCCTTCACCCATCCGCAGCACTCCAGGTACTCCAGTAAGTTTGTCAAATCTGCCAACAGCTCAAGGCGCTATGCTGCAAGGTGTAATTAATAAATGCAAAAGACTGTAGGTCCTCCTGTATCCTTATTACTGACCTCCACAAAGCAAAAAGCCTGCAGGTGTAGATTTTACTACATGAAATGAGTTTACAGCATCTATCCCTCACAGAAATCCCTACACAGCCAGCTCTTCCAGGGAAATTTTTTTTTTTTTTAATCTGAAGATTTGAGCCATGTTCCCTAAAAGCGAACATTTTTGCTCTCCCCTCCCTCATATATGTATGGTTATCAGACATCTGCATTTTTACAGAACTACAAGTTCGTCAGCTGAATCGCTGCTGATCCATGTAGTCTGGATGGTGGTTGAAAATGCAAATGTCTACAGAATAATAGGTATGTTGTGCTTTAATGCTTTGTGGCAGGTTCATAGAATTTGTATCGCAGGTGTATGGATGGATAGTGTACAAAATAAATAAACTTGCACCAAAGTGAGAGAAAAAAACCTTTCCATTTTGTCTCAATTGTGGCCAGTTTCTTGTCATACTTAAAGGGGTTTTTGGAATTAATCTCTTCATTGCTCTCTGAATGCTTGCTCTACATCACATTTTTTCTTCTGTAAAATCAGAAATGGCAGTCCTGCCCGTTTCTCTTGAAGGGAGGCTGAAGAGGCAGGCATATGCCTTTCTCAGTCAGAACTGGGAACGTGGACTCACTGCAAGATGAAACCCCTTTGGTGAACTCACTTTGCTTCGTTTGCACTTGATAATCACTGGGACTTCTTGCAGGTTCTGGTTTTTAAACTGGTTAGTGTCTTCCTATTTTAAATACACAAAGAAAGGGGGTGGGAAGATAGGGATGGGACTGCCTGTGCATTACACTTCAGGTTTTGCACAGTAATACCACAAAATAAGTGTGTCTGTCCTTTGTGAGAAGTTTTGTCTAAATAAAATATATTTGTATTTGCTGTTGAGACTGACCATTCATCCTCCAGGCATCCTCTGTATCAAATAGTCTAGAAATACACCGGTCTTTGTTTTAAAGCCACTTGTGTCTGTCCTTTCATGGTCTCCCTTCTGGCTCCTGATGAAGGCTGAGCTGCAGGTAACGGGTGAAAGCAGGGGTGGCATTGCTTGCAGGCCCACAGGTGATGCTCCCGCCCTGGCACACAGACCTGGGAACTGGAGGTCTGAGGACTTTCAAATTTAAGACAAAAAAAAGTCATAGGGCTCTAATGAAGCACTTCACCCCGGGGAAAACAGCAGACAAGGTTATTGCACTCATCATCTGTGCCTACACCTACCTCCCCTCTTCTCAGCTCGTCAGACAGTAACCGCTGTGCAAAGAGGGCTCAAGGACAGGGCTCCTGCCGGCGGGTGTTTGTAGGAAGGGTTTGCTCCCTGCCCGCGGCACCCGGAGGAGATGAAAGGTTGTGTGGATGAGCACCTCAGGTGCACGGCCCCCAGTCCCATCCAGACAATCGATGCAGCAATTCCAGGAATGTGAAGCCGAAGCGGGGCCGAGATAAGGCTCTGCACACCACGGAGCTTTTATCTGCCTCAAGGCTAGTCTTGGCCCCGGGGTTGGTTACACTGCGAGTGGTTCACTGCCACTTGTTCCAGACTTAGGACCGTTTCTATCTCTTTGGCCTTCAAATCTTTAGCTAATCGTCCCCTGGGCTGACTCATTCCCTGCCACCTCCCGGCCCTTCTGCCTCCCCAGCCGGCCCAGCTATCCCAGTCCCAGCCCCTTCCCCACTCCTTGGAAAAGCAACACTTGGCACGACTCGGGGCCACTGGGGACTAAACAATGCCAGCCCAGCAGTGACACATGCCCAGAGGCATCTTAATCCTTGAAGCCATCAGCTCTTGTCTGCTGGAGACCAGAGGCTTCACCGGGGACTGAGGCCAGCCCCAGCGCAATGTATATCCTGGGCTGGCCCTGGTCAAGTGAGCCCGAGCCAAAGCCTGTCCCAGGTGAATCAGCGAGCAGGTACGGCAGCTTGGGGGAGCCAGGGAAGGCAAAGCCAGCCCAGGGCTGCAGGCCGGGTCCCTGCCAGCCCAGAGGCAGCAGCCGGGCTACTCAGCTGACCACCAAGGAAAGAGCTTTCCTATCTGGTTGTAAAATCTAAGCTTAAAGCTCCACGATTCTGCCTGCAACGCATGACAGAAAGACCTACAAGCAACTTCTCCAAAGGCACCACCCCCGTTTTTCAAGCCTCAGAGCCCTCCCACAACGGGGCCCTACACCACCACAGTCCATCAGCCACCTCCAGACAGCGGGGCTGTTAGCAGAGCCTGGGGCAGAGGAAAAGCCGCCCCAGGGAAAAGAGCAGACTCACCCCAACATCCTTGGGCCACAGACAAAGCAAAAGCAGCAGGGTGAGCAGTCCCAGGGTCTTGAGCTGCTTTACATGAGCAGGACAGGGACCACCATCCCAGCTGGGCAGGCTGGAGGGCAAAAGCACAGGAAATCAGAGGCAGAGACCGAGAAAGCAGCTCTTCCTGCAGCTGCCCTATTTATAGAGCAGCCGTGGGAGCTCCTGCCCCCCATCAGTGGGTGCAGCGATTCACCTGGGCTCCTCCTGCCCGACAGCAGCCCCTGCTCTCCCTCCCCGGGGGCAATTCCTGCCAGGGCCGGGGGGTGGGGGGGGTGGGGGGTGTGTGGGGTGTGTGACAACCAGCCCACTGCGTTGACACTCAACAGCTCGGCTCTGCCCAGCCTGCAGCCCCCAGCCCGCTCCGGGCATGTGGCCCTCACCCCGGGGGCAGCCCTGCAAGGGGGGGTGGGGGGCACCCCCCGGGGTCCCGGGCCGGGCCACCCCCCGCCCCAGCCGCCCCACACGCAGCCAGGGCAATTCCCGTGGCCGCGCGGCCCCCGCGGCCGGGCCCCTCCGTGGGGTGCGGTGCCCCGGGCGCGGGGCGATGCTGCGGGGCCAGAGGCGCCGGGCAGGAGCCGCCCCCGGCCCCCCCCAGCCCCGGGCGGGCGGGCGGGCCCGCAGGGTGCACGGCCCCTTTCGCTTTCGTTTCTCCTTGCGGGGCCAGTCCCAGCCCAGCCCAGCCCAGCCCAGCCCTGCCCAGCCCAGTCCGGCTCAGCCCGGCTCGGCACGGCTCGGCTCGGCTCGGCTCAGCCATGCCGCGGTTCAGCGTGGCGGAGACCCGGCGGTGGGGGGATCAGTTCGTGCAGTTCCTGCGGGACACGGGCCGGGAGCAGGAGAGCCGGCGGGACACGCTGCGGAGCATCTACAACCAGGAGTTTCGGGGCAGGTGAGAGTCCTCGGCCAGACCCGGCCCCCCGGCCAGCATCGGGCCCCCGGCCAGCATCGGGCCCCCGGCCAGTATCACCAGTACCCGGCCACCATCGCTGGGGCTTCACATGGGGTGTCAAGCCAGCGCCGGCCAGGAGCTGGGTGTGAGGGCAGCACTGGGGAGCAAGTGGGGTCTTCAGGGGCTCCCCTTCATCACCGGCCTGGGTGGGATGGAGGAGCCTTGTGCTTCCTGAGCAGCAAGGACCACCTGGGCCAGTTCAATCTAAACGCAGGGGCCGCGCTGTCCCCAGGCACGGAGGAAGCAGCAGCATTGCTGGGGCAGCCGGTGTCCCGCTGGGCTGTGGCTGCAGCGAGGGGCAGAGCTGCCCCCCCCCCCCCACCCCGCCACCGGCCCTGCGTGCCCCCAAGCCCCTCCATCTCGCCGCAGCCCCGCTGGGATGTTCCCCAGCTGCACGGGCCCCCCCAGCAGCTGCCGGGGCACGGCCTCGGACACCCGCTGCCCACCACGCTCCCCACCTCAGCCCGCTGACACTGGTCACACTGGCCGTTGTGCAACGTCACCGCTGTTAATCATTGGCAAAGCTGGGGTTCAGCCCGCCGGCGGGCTGCAGGATATGCCCCCGGGTGCGGGGGGTGCCTGGGGAGGCATCGCCGGCATCGCTGCCGGGAGCGCAGTGGCCGTGCCTTGGAGGAGCCCACGTCTGCAGCGGCTCGGCCCCTGGGGCTGTGCAGGGGGCTCACCCCTCTGGACAGCCTCTTCTGTCAAGGATCTGGGGACAGGGACACGTCCCTGCCCTGCTGCTGCTTGTGCGCTGGGGACAGGGACTGCATGGCTGTCGGGGCCAGACAGTGGCACAGCTGGAACGGCCGTGGCACAGCTGGAACAACCATGCCACAGCACGGAGTTGCTGGAGCGGCCTGCAGGGATGTAACATTTGTGTGGGACAGTGCAAAGCCCCACACCTTCCTCTCCCAGCGCAGAGGGGAGTCACCAGAGTGCCCCTCACCCCAGCCTCCGTGCCCCGCTCCACCCTCCCTTCCTGCTCGCCTCCACTCAGTTCCTGGTGCCCCGGCAGCCCAGCCGTGCTCCGTCCCACGCTGAAACCTCTCTCCCTTGGCTGTGCAGGACTGATACAAAACTGCCCACCTTCTCCTGCATCTTGTACGCGCTGAAGGTGACCCACCAGGCCCAGGTGCACAGGGAGTGGGTGCACTTCAGGAAGGTGAGGGAGGCCCCGGGCCGGGCCAATGCAGCAGCTCCTGTGCCCACCGGGACTGGCCCTGCGGGAGCCCCCAGGCCCTGGCAGGACCCCGGGGCCACGCTGATGCTGGCTGCTCCTCGCAGGAGAAGAGGCGCGTGGTGGTGGCAGACCAGTACCGGAGACCCAGAGCAAACACAAAGGAGTTGGCATCCACGTCTGCCGCAGGGCAGCAGCCCAGCTCCAGTCCGCGAGTGCCCCAGAGCCGTGCCAAGAAGTGGTACGAGCAGCAGCACCCTGCCCACGCCTGCCCCGGCACAGCCCTGGGGACCCCCCACCCCGGCTGGGAGAGCCTGACCCTCCCTCCCACAGGGCTGAGTTCATCTGCGGGAAGCACGGGGTCGAGATCGTCTCGGAGCACGACCAGGGCAACGGGCACATCCGCTTCCCGGTGGTGCCCAGCGAGCCCCGGACGGTCACCATCCTGGTGCAGAACCGCGGGGCAGAGGCCGTGACGCTGCGGCAGTGCCAGCCGCGCCAGCGGCTGCGGGAGCTCTCCTTCGTGGACGATCAAGGGGCGACGCAGGGCCAGTCCCTGGTGCTGCACCCAGGTAGGGCCCCGTCCCCTGCCCCGCTCCCTGCCCCGCCGGAGGAGGTGCGGGACCCAGCTCTCCTCCTTGCCACGCAGGCAGCACGTACCCCATCCAGGTGCGGTGCCTGACCCCCCGCAATGGGTACTTCCGTGCCGTGCTGGTCTTCGAGTTCACCAAGGAGCCGGACGAGCCCTTCAGCATCGGGCGCTTCATCGCCGCCGTCGCCGAGAGCCAGCTGGCCAAGGACCTGGGGCCCTCGGCGCCTTTCCAGCCTTACCAGGCCAACCTCCAGCACCCTGTCACCATCATCACCGAGGATGGCATCCCCCCTGACAGGTACGTGGCAGGGTCACCCGCTGCCATCCTGCGCGGAGGGCCCCGGCCTCTCCTCCAGCTGGGACAAGGCTCAGCCCCTTGGGAGCCGGCTGTCCAGCACAGTGCTCCATCCCATTGTGATGGCTGGTGACAGGGAGGTTGGGGACACTGGGGAGGTTGGGGACACCCTGCTTGCCAGGTGGCTGCAGCCCGGGCGGGAGCCCGGCTCTGTAGTTCTTGTAGCACTGCTGTCCCCTCCACCCAGCTCCCTGAAAAACGAACTGGAGAGGGAAATCCCTCTGGGCACCTACAAGTACCCAAAGAGCCTCAAGGACACGATCCTGCTGGGACCCAACGCCAGCTCCAGCTGGGCTGCCATGCGGTGAGTGCTGAGGGGTGGGGGCAACACCGCCCGGCCCTGCGCCTCCCACCCCCTGCCCCGTGGCCGCGGTGTCCCCACGGCACGGTGACGTCCCGGCTGCCCGCAGGTCACTGCTGGAGGCCCCTCTGCAGCCTGGGAACTACCAGAAGAAGTTCCAGCTGCTGCTGCACCTGGAGGAGATCCAGATGGAGGTGGACATCCGGCGCTACGACATGCAGGACGTGTCCATGGTGCAGGACAGGGCGCTGCTGGTCCTCGACGTGCGTAGGGGATGTCGGGGGGGCGGGAGGGCTGCCGGGGTGCCCGGCATCACCCCAGCGGTTTGGCACAGGTACCCGGCGTGGCCGAGAACCGCCCGTCCGTGCTGAAAGGGGACCACCTCTTTGCCCACCTGAGCAGCGAGCGGAACCACTCCCCACTCGTCCAGTACAAGGGCTACGTGCATGGCGTGGAGCTGGAGAAGGTCAGGCTGGGCTTCTCCTCCAAGTGAGTGGTGTCCGGGGCTGGCAGGGCCCCCGCAGCCCCGCTCGGACGTGCCGAGGGCTGGGTGCAGGCTGGGAAGGGCCAGGACAGGCGTGCGGGAGGATCCCCGCGCCCTGCTCACGCCGCTCCTTCCCAGGCTGCTGAAGAAGTTTGTGAACAACCTGAAGTTCGACGTGACGTTCACCTTCGGCCGGCTGCCACTGCAGGTGGAGCACCGGGCTGCAGCCCTGGCCATGCAGCGCGGCTTGTCCAGCCTCCTCTTCCCCTCCGCCTCCTGCCACAAGTCCCTCTTCTCAGGCACCTTCCAGCCCCGGTGAGTCCCGGTGCCTGCGGGATGGGAGGGGACGGGGGGGGACGGGGACCTGGCCCACTCAGCCTCGGCTCCCGCAGGTGGTTCGACCGCAAGCTAGAGGCGAACGAGGAGCAGTGCAGAGCCGTGACACACATCGTGACAGGGATGTCCAGGCCAGCCCCATACCTCATCTTCGGCCCCCCCGGGACTGGCAAGACGGTCACCGTGGTAGAGGCCATCAAGCAGGTGAGTGGCTGGTGCTGGGGTCCAGCCGCAGGCAGCGCTGCCCAGCCCAGCCCCTGGGGCTCCGGGCCCTCACCCCGTCACCCTCCCTCCCACCTAGGTATGGACGTGCTTCAAGGACGCCCGGATCTTGGCCTGCGCCCCTTCCAACAGTGCCGCAGACCTGCTGTGCCAGCGCCTCATCAAGGACATCGCCCCCCGGCACATCTACAGGCTGATCGCCAGCTCCAGGAGCTACCAGGAGGTGCCCCCCGATATCAGGGTAGGTCCTGGCACCCCGCGGCACGTCTGGGCTGGCGGCCCCTGGGGAGAGCAGGATCCCACCGAACGCCTGTGTTCCAGCCCTGCTGCAACTGGGACGGTGAGCAGAGCTGCTACGTGTACCCGAGCAAGGAGCACCTGAGGCGCTACCGGATCCTCATCACCACGCTGGTGACAGCGGGAAGGTCAGAGGACCTGGGATTGTCCCCACCCCCCGCGGCGGGTGGACCCAGGGGCGCCTTGCAGCTGGGCCGGGAGGGCAGCCCTGCTGGGGGGCAAGCGGGGGGGGAGGGCAGCAGGGGGGACCCCTCCTCTGCTGGAGGAAGAAGATGTAAGGGAGGGAAGGATGGCCAGCCGGGGCAGGGATGCTGAGGCAGCTTCACTCCACCTCTCCCCCAGGCTGGCGTCAGCCAACTTCCCCCCAGGGTTTTTCTC